TATACAAAATATCTTACTTGGTGTGAAAATTAGCCTCTTTTAACCTACAGGAACACTGCCATTTGAGAAGCCAGGTACTGCTAAGAAGTACTTTACTAAAATTTTACTGCTCTCATGATAAATTAAATAAAAATAGATGAGTAAAGTCCTTAATAGCAAAAATGTCATCTGTCCAATATCAAAGACTGGCATAGCTACAGCAATATGTTATAGAGAGTACTTAATCATCATTTTCACATCACAGATGAGAGAACTCAGAGCTAATGAAGGTAAATAGCTTTTGAAAGTCCTATGCCTCTACAGGGCAGAACCAAAGGTACAATCAAAGTCTGCAAAATCCTAAAATCCAACAGACAATATGCTGTCTATAAGAGACCTATCTTAGGTCCAAAGACACAAATAGACTGAAAAGTAAATTAATGGAAAAAGATATTTCATACGAACACAGTAACCCAAACAGAGGTGGAATGGTATGTTAGTATCCGCTAAAAGAGACTTTTAGGCAAAAAAGATTACAAGAGAAAAAGGGGTTATATAATGATAAAAGGGCCGATCCACCAAAAAGATAGAACAATGATAATATATGGAACTAACAACAGAGTCTTAAAATATATGAAGCAAAACCAGACAGAACTGAAGAAACATAGATAGTTCAATAATTGTTGGAAATTTCAAGACATCATTTTCAATAAAGTAAAGACCAACCAGAAAAATGATAGACAACTTGAACAACACTATAAACCAGCCACACCAAACACACACAGAAAATGCCATTCAACAAGAACATAATGCAAAAGGAGTATTTTCCAGGACAATGTATTAGGCAACAAAAGTCTCAGTGAATTTTAGAAGATAGAAACCACACAAATTATCTTCTCTGAATACAATGGAATAAAATTAGAAATCAGTAACAGAAGGAAATCTAAAAACTTCACTAATTGGTATATATTAAACCATTCATTCTTAAAACAACCCACAAGTCAAAGAAGAAACCAAAAGGGAAGTTATAAAACACTTTGAGAAAAATGAACACGAAAATGAAATATGTCTAAATTTATGGATTGCAGTAAAAAGGAGTGCTGAGAGGGATATTAATATGGAAGTCAACATTAATAAATTTCTCAAATCAATATCCCATCCTCCAACGTAAGGAAGTATTAGAAGAGCAAACTTCAGCAAAAAGAAGAAGGAAGAATGAAGATTACAGTGGAGATAAATGAGAATAGAAAAACAATAGAAAGAATCACTGAAATCAAAAGTTGGTTCTTTGAAAGATAAAATTGACAAGTCTTTAGATTGATGAAGGAAAAACAAAAACAAAAACCAAGAGTGGACCAAAGTACTAAAATCAGGAATGAAAATATGGATATTACTACCAAACTTACAAAAATAAAAAGGAATGTAAAAAGACACTGTGAAAAAAAAAAAGCTTTACTGCCATATAATTCATATACCATATGATCAACCCATTAAAAGAGTACAATTCAACGAATTTTAGTATATTCCCACATACGTGCAACCATTACCACAGTAAATTTTAAAATCTTTCTATCACCTCAAACAGAAACCGTATACCTTTTAGCTATCATCCTCCTTTGCGCCTCTTCCTCCTAGTCCTAAGCAACCATTAATGTACTTTCTGTCTCTACAAATCTGCCTGTTTATATTTCATATAATTAGAATTAAATAATATATTTCCTCCTCTCACTGTTTTTTTTTTTTTTTTCAATGTTTATTTACTTTTGAGAGACAGAGAGAGACAGAGCATGAGCAGGGGAGGGGCAGAGAGAGAGGAGACACAGAATCCAAAGCAGGCTCCAGTCCCCAAGCCGTCAGCACAGAGCCTGATGTGGGGCTCGAACTCATGAACAGTGAGATTATGACCTGAGCAGAAGTCGGACACTCAACGGACTAAGCCACCCAGGCACCCTTCCTCTGTTTTTCTTTCTACATACCATGTTTTCAAGGATGATCCGTGATGTCACATATGTCAATACTCCATTCCATTTTATGGCTGAATAATATTCCATTTTAATACCACATTTTGTTTACCCATTCATCAGCTGATGGACATTTGCATTGTTTTCACTTTTGGTTGTTATGATTTGTGTTTGTGTGTCTGTGTCTGTGTGTGTGTGTGTGGCCAATAAGTGAGACAATGTATATGAAATGGACAAATTTCTAGAAAGGCACAAACTATAAAAACTGACTCAAAAAAAAATAGAAAACCTAAAGAGACTTGCAACAAGTACATAGATTGGAATCAGTTCTTAGAAAACAAAACCAAACCAAACAAAATAACAACAAAAATAACCCATGGGACGCCTGGCTCAGTCAGTTAAGCATCCAACTTCAGCTCAGGTCATGATCTCATGGGTCATGAGTTTGAGCCCCTCACTGTGTGAGCTGGAGCCCTGCTCTGGGCTCCACACACTCTCCCACTTCTCTCTGCACCTTGTGGGAGTCTCTCTCTCTCTCTCATGAATGAATGAATAAATAAATAAACAGAAATGTGAATACAGTTTAAAAAAAAAAAATCAGGACTTGATGGTTTCCCATGTGAATCCAGAAAACACTTAAAGAAAAATGAACATCCATAATTCTCCTATTCTTCAAAAAAAATAAAATAAAGAACAATTCCTGACTCATTCTTGGAAGCCAGTATTACCTTGACATCAAACCAGATAAAAATACCACAAAAAATGAAAAGCAATAAACAAATGTCCCTTATGAATATAGGTGCAAAAATCCTCAACAAAATACTAGAAGCAAACTAAATCCAATGGAATATTATAATTCCCATAATCAAGTGGGATTTATCCCAGAAACCCAAAAGTGGCTCAACAGGCAGGAATCAATTAATACAACATATATAAAGAATAAGGTAAAAATACCACATGGCCATCTCAACTGATACAGAAAAAGCAATTGGCAAATTCCAACACATTTTCTGGATAAAAACATTCAACAAATTATAGAGAGAATTTTCCAAATTTGATAAAAGGAATCTAGGAAAATCCAACAACTAACACCATACTTAATAACAAAATGCATTCCTCCCAAGATCAGGAAAATAATCTCATTTACAATAGCATTCAAAAGAATAAAATACACAGGAATAAATTTAACTAAAGGAAATATAAAACATGTGTCAAGAACATACAACTAAAAACTTCAAAACAATGCTTAAAGAAGACCTAATTAAAGGGAAAGGCATCCTGTATTCATTGAGACTTCATGCTGTTAAGATGGCAACACTCCACAAATTGAATGCAAATGAAAACCACAAGATACCACTTCACGAATCCACTTGTGGTTTATTTTTTAAAAGGGTGGGGGAGGGGGGACCAAGTGTTGGTGAGGATGTGGAGAAGTTAGAACATTCATACATTGCTGGTGAAAACCTAAAATTGTACAACCACTATGGAAAACAGTTGAGTTGTTTCTCAAAAAGCTAAACACAGAACTACCAATTCCATTCCTACCAAAAATCGAACAAACTATGTTCACAAAACAGTAGTCAACGTTCATAGCAGCATTATTCAAAATAGTGAAAAAGTGACAACAGTACAAATACACATGAACTCATAAATGGATAAGTAAAATGGAATATCCACTGAAAGAATATTATTCAGCACAGAAAGGAATGAAGTACTGATTTTACACTACAACATGGATGAACTTGAAAACCTTATGCTAAGTGAAAGAAGTCAGACTCAAAAGCCCACATAATGTATGCTTCCATTTACAGAAAACATACAGAATAGGCAGATCCATAGAGACAGAAAGCAAATTAGTGGTTCCCAGGGCTCATGAGAGAAACAAATGGGAAATGACTGCTTAATTGGTATGGGATTGTCTTTTGAAGTGATCAAAGTGTTCTGGAATTAGATACTGGTGACAGATATACAATACTGTGAACATACTAGAAGCCACTGGATTCTATACTTTTAAAGGATTAAAATGGAGGATTTTATGTTATGTGAATTTTACCTCAATTAAAAAGTAATGAAAAACAACAATGAACTTAAACCTACCCAGCAACTTATAAATTGAAATAATCACAGAAGTCCTTTCAGTATTCTTATGTCTATGTGCTCAAAAACTAGATCTAAAAACAGTTATCATGAGGGGAGCCTGGGTGGCTCAGTTGGTTAAGTGTCTGACTTTGGCCCAGGTCATGACCTCACAGTTCTGAGCTTGAACCCCATGTCAGGCTTTGCGCCGACAGCTCAGAGCCTGGAGCCCGTTTCAGATTCTGTGTGTCTCTCCCTCTCTCTGCCCCTCCCTGGCTCATGCTCTCTCTCCTTCAAAAATAAATAAACAATAAACAAACAAACAAATAAATAAAAATAAAAACAGGTATCACGAGGTGCCTGGCTGGCTGAGTCAGTTGGTGAAGTATGTGACTCTTGATCTCGGGGTTGTGAGTTTGAGCCCCATGCTGGGTATAAAGATTATTTAAACAGGGGCGCCTGGGTGGCGCAGTCGGTTAGGCGTCCGACTTCAGCCAGGTCACGATCTCGCGGTCCGTGAGTTCGAGCCCCGCGTCAGGCTCTGGGCTGATGGCTCAGAGCCTGGAGCCTGTTTCCGATTCTGTGTCTCCCTCTCTCTCTGCCCCTCCCCCGTTCATGCTCTGTCTCTCTCTGTCCCAAAAATAAACAAACGATGAAAAAAAAAAAAAATTAAAAAAAAAAAAAAAAAAAAAAAAAAAAGATTATTTAAACAAACCAACCAGCCAACAAACAAATAAATAAATCTTAAAAACTGGCATCAAATACTTCACAGCTGTGATGTTATTAACAGTTCTGGAACAGCCTTTAAATTCTATCTACCATAACAGAAAATGAAAGAGAAAAAAATCAAATGTTAATCTTAAGGACAAATTGATACTGATCATTGTTTTTGCTTTTAAGCACAAACAAACCCAATTATTTTAGCAAGCTGAGAGGAAAATACAGCATCTACTACCCTTGCCCGTGGGGACAGCTGTGACTCACCAAGCTTCTCTGGCTCATCAGGTCCCGTGCCTGCAATGCAACTGCTCTCCAGGCCATACGTGGGGTCCACTTTCCCAGAGGCTCGAGCTGCTTCTTGTACTTTCTTGACGTGAGCTTCAACCAATTCCAGTGGTACCTCCTCTCGGACCCGAGAAAACTCCTCTGTACAAGAATCAAAATGCAAGTGTGACCTAGTGTGCAAATATTTGCTTTAACATAGACCACTATGGACTCTGACACATTAGTGTCTTACAAGCACTGACCTTTCTGGGTGCTCAGGCTTATCTATTCGAGCAAAACAAGAATGCCAAATGAGGTAATCACGTACACTGATGAAATTCTAAGATTGTACATTTTAACTTATGTGTTGCAGTATCCTGCTGTGTAAGTAACAAAGATCTCTAAATTTCCGTCTGTAACAATCAAAATTTCTGCCCAAACTTAACCTAACTCTGCAAGCTAGATTGATAGTAAAGAAAATAGCAAGGATTAAACAACCAGAAAGCTGAAAAAGAGTTTATAGTGTGACAAAGTTCTAATTGTAATAAAATCCAACAACGTTAAATGGTTCCTTTTGCTGGTTATGTCAAAGTCCAAATGAATCATAAAATATACGACAAAAAACTGTTTTGCCCCTCCAATTCTTAATAAATGCTCTTAATTTTAAAACTATGAATTTTAAGTGCTTTAGTTAAAAATGTTGTAATACTCTTTAATATGGTAGCTTAAAGAGGTAATGTCTGACTTTCTGCTAACTGAAATAAACATAGCAGCTGATAACCTGCCAGTCAGAGACAACACATATATAAAGGCAAGTACTAGGCTATTATCTGAAACTACTGTGCTGACAACACGGTTCAGGAAAGTCCATACCCAAAGCTGCTTTTGCTGCAGCAGATGCCACACGAGGGTCCACCACGGATGCCAAAAAAGCAACAGTGCTCATGACTGGGTTTCCTGACTGACTGAAAGGGACAGGCTGGTAAGCCAGGGGCCCCAGGGAGGCATCCGAATTCTCAAGGTACGGGTCCTCAATAGGAAGCCTCAGAAAGTGGAGGATGCATTCATCCTGAGTACGACTTCCGACATGCTCTGACACTTTGTTCCAATCATCCTTGTACATCTCCAGGGCCTACAACAGAAAAATCCAGGTGCTTTAGTATCAGGTAACAAGGAACTAATACGTAACAATATCAAAAGCCTGTGACTGTTCTTAAAAACAGTTCAGGGTTTAAAAAAATAATAATGAAAATGATTATACTTTACGTAAGAAAATAGGTAGATTTGATTGTTTTCTAATTACATTAAATCTCAGGCAAGAAAAATAAAAAACACATATATAAAAGGAAGAAAAAGTGTCTTTCACGAATACACACATGACTGTTTACATAGAAAATCCTAGTAAGTCTACAGAAAAATACTAAAACTATAAAGTTTAGCAAGGTCAGAGGATAGAAAGGTAACAAAAACTCAATTATATTTCTCTATGTATAAGCAATGAAAAGTTTTCAATAGGAAAAAAGTCTTTAAGATAGCACAAAACCGAAATAACTAGGAACAAATGTAATAAAGAATATGTAAGAACAACATGCTTGAAAAAAATAAAACATGCTGAGAGAAATTAAAGACCTAAATAAATGAAGAGATATACTATATTCATCCATTAGAAGACCCAATATTATTAAGATGTCAACTCTCTCCAAACAGAATAGCAGGTTCAACACAATCCCATTCAAACTCCAAGCCTTTATTGTTAGAAATTAAGAAACTGAGGCTAAAATTTATGAAGTATATAAATTTCCAATTTAAAAATTTATTCTTCAGAGAAAAATACTGAAAAACCCTCAAAAAGAGTAAAAGCAGTCTCTAAGGGGAAGAGGGACAGAAGGTTGTAAAGAGAATCAGAAATACGTGGTACGAAGAAAGTCGAGGAATTAACTGGGTAAGAACCTATTCAGTAGCTAACCAAAGCTGCTGTTCTCACAGGATTCACAACCAGGGGCAATTCTGCCTCCTTGGGGACATTTGGCAATGTATGCAGACATTTTGGGTTGACACAACTGAGGAGGTGCTACTGGCATCTAGTGGGTAGAAACCATGGATGATGTTAAACATTCTCTTTAATGCACGTAAGAAGAGCCACCACAACAAAAAGCTATCTGGCCCAAATGTTCATTGTGGGAGGCTGAAAAATCCTGTTCTAGAGCTTGATTTGCTGAGCTACACTGTGAGCTGAGCTTGTGATGACGATGGTTCTCTCCATGTTTACGTAAGTGAATTCCTAACCCAGGGCTCCAACTGCTGACCCAGGCTTGCCTTCTTTGCTGCAGTAGTAGAAGACTCCTCAAAACCCACACCAGAGAATGATCTTATTTCTTAAATCCCTTGAAAAAACAAGGCTAATTCTGGGTTTCCTCTGGATAGCCAGTGGCCTCAGGTAGTTCTAGAAGGAATTAGAAAAAAGACCTAGAATGTAACAAAAAATAAAAATCAATTTCTCTCACTAAGGTCGTTGGGGCCAGAAATGTGTAACTTTAGGGACCACCTTATGTATCTGATTATGGGGAGATTTTCTTAGGATACTCTATCACAGACTTTTCAAAGAAATTTACTTAAAAAAAATTTCTTCCTTTATTTTTTTCCTCATGAAGAAAGTTCAGGCAGTTTTTTCCAGAATGAAACTAAGGAACCCTTGGACATGCAAAAATCAACAAAGAGCATTCCAAAAAGCATAAGGCTGAGAAACAAGTGAAGTTCCGAGCTTGGGCACTAATGGCAGCATTACATAACAGGGAATCAAAGACATGTTTTCAAACAGAACATGGTGACAGACTAGCTGGGAAGGAGGAGGAAGGCTGATATATTAGCAGACATTTTACAGGAGTATAAAACACCTTCATTCTTCCTGCTATGAGCTGGCTCCTTACCTACATTCTCAGAATCACCCATCTTTCTCTATCCTTAAATTCATCTTTCTTCCTATTGCCAGAGTGAACTATGTTTCACACATGACACTGTCTCTCTCCTGCCTAAAATTATTTCCTTGCTCGTTATTATCTTACTGAATGAAGTCCACATAGGATCGGGACTCTGCCTACTTCTTCCACTCTACTCACTACTCTTTCATGTTCTAGGAATATCCAGAAATAGTCTTCCTAGTCATTGTGCCTGTGGACACTTTGCTCTGTACCCAAAATATCATATACTGGAGCCAACAATACAGCTGTCCCATTCCCAGGAAGCCATGCACTGAGTCTCATCCACCCAGCCTGACACACAGCCATCTCTATGTACTTGTCTTGGGCTCTGGGTACGGCTCCAATCGTGAAGCTGAGGACACTGCACTCATTTTTTTGTTTTAACCTGTTTCCGTTGAATCCCTTACCTGCAAAGACTATGGCCTAGCCATCTCAGTCTACAGAGTCTGCCGCGGTGCCTTAAACACAGTAACCAATAAAATTTGCTGAACGTGACCACAGGGAACTGGACTAGACCAGGAAAGGAATTTGTGTTTCCCATGGCTCCAAATGTAAAAAAACAAAACAAAAAAACCCCACACAAAACCTGTAAAAAAGGGCTCTTCCTCAAGACAATATTTTTTTTAATTGGAAGACATACTCATCTAAAATGTAATTCAAAATTACACAGAAAAAACAACTCCTTGGGTAGCATATCAAGGAAAGGTGTATCAGGGACATGCACACTACGAGCAAATCTTTGATGCTGTTTACGGAGTATCTTCCAATGCTACTGCTTCTGTAATCTAGCCAGTACAAAAAACGTGGGGAACTCTTTCAGTGATAAACGTTAATAACCTTAATGGATTTTATCTGCAGGTACAAGATTTCATGTCCACTAATCATCTAAGGGAAAATAAACACAAGGCATGAGAAAACAAAGCAGGCAGGAGAAAGACTGAAGTTAACAAGGGAGGAACCAATAAGCTCCCAGACTCAGGTCTTGTCAATTTCAAGCCCAGGGACAATTATAATGACCAGGAAGACAAGTGTTACAAGCCGAGGACTTAATATTGTAAAAGCCTCTTTAAAAAACCCCCTTAATCACTATGAAATAGAATGCTGACATTTCTTCTTCCATTCTGGCACCCTGAATCTGTCAATGCAATGTCAAACTGCTCAGAAGACTGAGTTATCAGCCTTTTGTGACTTAAACTGGTGACACATTTTCAGGTGAAACCCCTGGAATTCCTCACACATCTTACAAATGAAATCTACTCAAATAAGTCTCCATCATCTTGATCTTACGCAATGTATTTTTTCAAAAAGCTAACAGAAAGCCTTATATAGCCTTCATGTCTACCAATTCATTCAAGGTCTTTTCAAATTCCATTTATTCATCCAGTGTGTAGATTCTATTTTGGTTATTTGCAAAGCTGAAACTATGCCTCCAATATATGTAATAAAACATTGTACTAAACAAAATCACAGATAATAATCTGCAGCATTCCACAGAAGAACTGTGTGTGTTTTGATGAGAGACCATATCAAATAAGGTGTTTTTAAAATAAAAGCAGGTGATCTCAGAAATAATCTAAAATAGTTGGGGTGCTGCCTGTGTGATATACTTGTCTAATAAAATGATACGATTGGGGGGGAAACAATAAACCTTAATGCATCTTCCAGATTTACCTATTTATTAGGAAAAAATTGACTGGTTTTGGTCATTTGGTTATAAATCCTTTAAAAAATTTTCATCTCGGGGCACCTGGGTGGCTCAGTCAGTTAAGTGTCTGATTTCGGCTCAGGTCATGATCTCACGGTTTGTGAGTTCGAGCCCCGCGTCGGGCTCTGTGCTGACAGCTCAGAGCCTGGAGCCTGCTTCCAATCTGTGTCTCATTCGCTCTCTGCCCCTCCCCCGCTTGTGCTGTCTCTCAAAATTAAATAAATGTAAAAAAAATTAAGAAAAAAAATTTTTCGGGGCGCCTGGGTGGCGCAGTCGGTTAAGCGTCCGACTTCAGCCAGGTCACGATCTCGCGGTCCGTGAGTTCGAGCCCCGCGTCGGGCTCTGGGCTGATGGCTCAGAGCCTGGAGCCTGTTTCCGATTCTGTGTCTCCCTCTCTCTCTGCCCCTCCCCCGTTCATGCTCTGTCTCTCTCTGTCCCAAAAAAAATAAATAAACGTTAAAAAAAAAAAAAAATTAAAAAAAAAATTTTCATCTGGCTTCATACTCTTAAGCTATTAATTATCAATAAGTAAACTACAGAAATAGAAGATGTTAGTGGTAAGCAATGCTGCTGGGGCACCTGTGTGTAAGCAGAGACAACACCTGTTGATTCAACTGCATGTTTAAAAGAAAAACCAACCACTCTACAGGTTCCACCTGCAGGAGAAAAAAAAAATGCACTATTGTGTAAGGATACTGTGGTTTTCTTGAATATGTTCAGGATAAACAGCAGCTCAGCCATTCTGTTCTCACTCTATTTACTATTCACTATTCTTAAACGTAGAAGAGGAGAAAATTTTGAGTGTCAATGTATAGAAAGAAAAAGAACTGATAAGAACGATACTCCAATTGGTGCTGTACAACTAATTACTCCCTAAAGCCCAAAGCAACATGAAAGTATATTCCCCGCCAAGTACTAAAACTTTAAACACATTAAGTAAACGTCCAGGGCAAATATGACTAGACAAAACAGTCCTGAAATAAATAAAAAGTGGTTCAGAAAAGAAGCTCTCTGCACATTACCGATAACAAATGAGTAGATAAGAGTACATCAAAATAGTGGTAAAAACTTGGGGCGCCTGGGTGGCTCAGTCTGTTAAGCATCCAACTCTCAGTTTCGGTTCAGGTCATGGTCTTGCAGTTCGTGAGTTTCAGCCCTGCATTGTGCTCTGTGCTGATAGTTTGGAGCCTGCTTGGAATTCTCTCTCTTCCCCCTCACCGTTCGTTCTCTTTCTCTCTCTCTCTCTCAAAAATAAATAATTTTGTTTTAAAGTGTGGTAAAAACTCAAAAAGAAGAAATCTTTTTGAATTTTAATGCAGAGATATTGAGAAGACAGAATAAGGAAAAGGAGAAGAGGGATGTAAAAAAGAAAAAGAAATAATTAATACACCACTAAAACTTCTTAAACCAAATACGACTGTTGGAAAAACTCAAAAAACAAAATTAAAAGCAATACAGAAACATGAACCATCACAAGTCCCGCTTTGGGCAAAACACAAGCCCTGGGTGAGTCCTGCTTCTCTCTGTCTCTGTCTCCCTCCCTCTCTCTCTGCCCCTTGTGGGATATTCTCATTCCCTCTCTCTCTCTCTCTCTGCCCCTTGCTTACTTGCTCCTTCTCTCTCTCAAGAAGAAAGGAAGGAAGGAAGGAAGATGAGCTATCAGCAGGTCCAGTGTATCTCAGTGTGGCTCAGAGACCCATGGGGCACCATATTTTTCAGGGGAACCAAGAGATCAAAACCGTTTTCACAACAGCAACAGGACACTGCTGCTTTTTCACTATGATGACACGTGAACGGTGGATGCTACAGCAGTGGTGAGTGAACCACCTACCCTCAAGCATGAATCAAGGCAGTGGCACCAGTCTTTTTTTTTTTTTTTTAATGTTTAGTTTTGAGAGAGAAAGAGAGAGCTCGTGCGTGCAGGGGAGGGACAGAGAGAGGGAGAAACAGACACAGAATCCGAAGCAGGCTCCAGGCCCTGAACTGTCAGCACAGAGCCCAGTGTGGGACTCGAACTCACAAACTGCGAGACTATGACCTGAACCGATGTTGCATGCTCAACTCACTGAGCCACCCAGGTGCCCCAAGAATATCTTAATAATCACCTTCTTCTTCACTGCCACACTCACAAAAATAATCCAACTTTACTGTAAAATTATTAATCTTACAAATTTAAACATCAAAGTTCACTTGTTTTTAATATTTGGTACTATGAAATGCGAGGTACACAAGAAGACTAAAAATCAACTATCCAAGCATGATGGCTGTCTGAAGGAAAAGCACTGTGTGATCATTTGAGTTTCAAGCTCAACTAGCCATTTTCATTGAAGATCATTTTTAAAAAAAAATTTTTCATGTTTATTTTTGACAGAGAGAGAAAGAGAGACAGAGCATGAGTGGGGGGAGGGCAGAGAGAGAGGGAGACCCAGAATCTGAAACAGGCTCCAGGCTCTGAGCCGTCAACACAGAGCTCGACGCGGGGCTCGAACTCACAGACAGCGAGATCATGACCTGAGCCGAAGTCAGACACTCAACTGACTGAGCCACCCAGGCACCCCGAACATCATTTTTACTAGCATGTAAATGCTAGCACACCATGGTCTGTAGGCACAGATATCTGGCAGACATTTTCTGATCAGCACGGGAGTTCCGATCTGCTCCATTTCTGACCTGGGCCAGTTCACCCTGCCTTAGGCATCATGGTGGTCCCTCGCTCTAGGAAGTCATCATACTGATGCCAAACTTAGTGCAGACACCCAGCTAGCACAGCACACTCCAGTCCTGAACCTAAGACTTAAGCAACCCTCCTGCCTCAGGCTTCTGGGCACCTGGGACTAACAGGCACTCACCACCACAACAGCCTGGCAAATGTTTTCTTAAAAGCAAACAGGATTGTCAAAAGTGTCACTTTGAAGAAAACAACTGAGTGCTTTTTGCCAATGATTAAGTGAAAATTAGAATTCTGAAAAATACGTACCTGCCACGAAAGCCTCTCCTACAGGATTATTTATAATTATCTGAAAAGGTCATTAAGATATTCTTTGTTTCCAAATACAAGTCCAGATGATACTAAATAGTCCTAATGTATTTTAACTAAAACAACATATATGATGAAAAAAACAAATATGAAAATCCAGCTGTATTCTATTAAGTCAAACATTATAGATATGGCTAACGGGTGACACCACACTTTTTACTAACACACTTTTGTTTTTCAAAATCTATTTCTGATAAAAATTTTTCATAAAAACTTGCAATGGGTTTATTGTTATTTTTAAGTAAATTAGTTTCCTCAGTTTTAATTTACAATACAGAAAATACTGATTAACTCACAAAAATTCTTTGAAACCTCAATGTAATTTTTAAGAGAAGTATATCCTGAGACCAAAACGTTTGAGAACTGCTGACCTAGTCTAATCTTCTATTTGATGCTTCATTTCTAAATTGCAAATGTTACATATGATATACAAGTTTGGATCAGATGAATACTCCACTGAAAATGAGCTCTCTTCCTCTGCAAGTTCTTTGCTCTAAATGTTATAAACAGAGCAAGCACTAGAAGTTACCAGCAGCAATCATACCTCCCTCCAGGTTGACCCCATTAATGAAACTAGAAAACTTGTTCTTTTCCCAGCACCACCTGCAATACTTGGTGACCACGAGACCCATTTTGATTACTGAGATAGAAGGGAAGACTGATGAGGGGCTTCTGGTTAAGCTTTTCATCCCAAGAAGAGCCCCAGAAGAGGCCCCAGAAGTGCCATTTCCAATTTTCTTACTGTTTTGAACAGGGATATGAAACCAGTGAATCAATCACCCTTGCTGGGAGCAGAAGAGAACACAGAGAGACAGAATGCAGACAGCTAAAGAAGTAAAACAAAAGAAGAAAGAAGCTAGGAACCTGATGATGTACTTGAGTAGTAAAAAGTATGTTGGAATTGCCAATCTAAAGATAGCCAGTTGAACAAAAAAAAAAAACAATGTCCTTTTTGGTTTAATCTTTGCTAGTTACATCCTGTTCTTTGTAGGCAAAAGCTTTCCTAAGAGATCTAACAGTACACTTCCTCATTTGGTCCTAATTTGGCTCTCACACGTACATTCTACCCACAAATACTATGTAGTACCATGCAGTCTTCATTTTACCCAATCACTGTTCTGTAACTAAAGATAAATGGTCCTCTTCAAAAACGGTTGATAAATATGGAACCTAACATTCTCTTACTCTCCACAGTAGAAATAATTGCTAAGAGTTACTTGTGTAAGTATTTTCAAGAATCTCCAAAGACATGAAGAATTCCAAAAAGTATTCAACAAGCTGACTGACATATCTTGAATTACCACTAGTTTACAACGGTGTTCTACTTTCAAGAACAAACAGTATTTTCAGTGGCAGGCATCTTCATCTACTTCTCTGGAATGCCTTCTGGGAAATATGGAGGTTGTACAAATGCACACCAGCACCAGAGAACTCATCTACAATGACCAAGGTGGGCTAAGTTACAAAAACAACAACTGGAATCTGAAGAAACATTCCACTTCAAAGTAACATCTGCTACTCAAGGTCAGCAAATTATTGTTACGTGGGAATGAGGTGCCAGAAGTGCCAAATCTTCCAATTTTGGAGGAAAAGTTACAGATCTAGACTACTTCTGCAAAGCCGTAATAATTGTTTAATATTGGCAAAGATTTAAAACGAAACAACCCGGGGCGCCTGGGTGGCGCAGTCGGTTAAGCGTCCGACTTCAGCCAGGTCACGATCTCGCGGTCCGTGAGTTCGAGCCCCGCGTCAGGCTCTGGGCTGATGGCTCAGAGCCTGGAGCCTGTTTCCGATTCTGTGTCTCCCTCTCTCTCTGCCCCTCCCCCGTTCATGCTCTGTCTCTCTCTATCCCAAAAATAAATAAACGTTAAAAAAAAAAAATTAAAAAAAAAATAAAATGAAACAACCCAACCTGGGCCAAAATAACACATATCCAGGTCTGATCTTCCCTACTGATAGCCAGCACATCACTTCTAGATATGATATTTAAATAATGATGGACCAAGAAAATTCTCTTAAAACTCAATACATGGTTCAAAAAACTTCAGGATTAATTCCAAAGGTGTACTTCAAATGCGAGTCACAGAAACTAAGCACCCACCTCCTGTGTGGATAAAGGGGCTCCACTATTAATGTGCTTACCTCCAGGAGCAGAAGGGTCTCCTGTTCAGTCCATTCTCTTCCAGCACTAGCACCTTTACTCTAAAGAAACAAAACCAAAAATTAGACACTCACTCCTAAAGGCTGAGCATGGAGCTCAGCAGGAGTTCCTTCTAAGTTCAGGGGGCTGTTTTATGCACACAACCAAGTAAGTCCCTAAGCATTAGGTGGGGCACCTGACTGGCTCAATCGGTACAGCATGCAACTCTTGATCTTCGGGTTAAGTTGGAGCCCCACACTGGGTGTAGAGATTACTTAAAAATAAAATCTTTATAAAAAAAAAAAGTCCCTGAGTAACAGAAATAAAACACTTGAGGATTCTAAACTTCCAACAGAAAGGCACACCTATTTCAAAGATTTCTTGTTTTCTATTAAGGACTCACAGACCATTTAGATATGTTGTTTCTATTATTTTGAAATTTGAAAATACTTTTGAAGCTACAAAGGCACAATATTTTAATGCATACCATGAACTGGTTGGATATCATAAACGTAACACAAACATTTGGTATAACTTGAACTCAGTACTTTTTCTAAGATTCAAAGACAAATTGTACTACATATAAATTACTCTGGAAGATTTTTTTTTAAATATTTTCATGCTTATTTATTAAAAAAATTTTTTTTTAATGTTTTTATTTATTTTTGAGACAGAGAGACAGAGCATGAACAGGAAGGGGCAGAGAGAGAGGGAGACATAGAATTCAAAGCAGGCTCCAGGCTCTGAGCTGTCAGTCCAGAGCCTGATGCAGGGCTCCAACTCAGGGTCTGTGAGATCATGACCTGAGCTGAAGTCGGACGCTTAACCGACTGAGCCACCCAGGCGTCCCTGTTTATTTTTCAGAGAGAGAGAGAGACTGAGTAGGAGAGGGGCAGAGAGAGAGAATCCAAAGCAGGCTCCAGGCTCTGAGCTGTCAGCACAGAGCCCGACATGGGGCTCGAACTCCATCCAGGAGAGAATGATCTAAGCTCAACCAACTGAGCCACTCAGGCACCCCTTGAAAGATTCTTGATTCCAATTGCAACAACTTCATATTTTCAACATCTCTTGAATAAAATAATCACCAAGTAATTCCCTAAACTGCAAATCACTCTTTCCGTAAGAATCCCTTTAACTGGGGGTTGAGCCCTGGACTGTTGATTTTGGCTCAGGTCACGATCTCAAGGTTGTGGGATCAGGCTATGTGGGCTCCATGCTAAGGGTGGAGAGTGCTTGGGACTCTTTCTCCCCCTCTCTCTCTGCCCCTCCCCCTCTTCTCCCTCCAAAACAAACAAACATTTTTAAAAAAAGAATCCCTTTAACTGACAACTCACATGAGCATGGGGGGGGTATAAGAAAACCAACTTTGTGTTACCTAAAAACTAAGATTTATCAATTGATTCATACTTCTTGATTTGTACACCCTGCTCCCTTCAGAGACTGTCAGAAGACTGGATGTGTGTATACCTGACATTATTCTTTACCTGCAAATGTTATTAACTCAGAATATACATTCTAACATATCCCTTCTCTGTAAACTCTATTTGGGTAGATTATAGTTTTAAAAATGAAGAGAAAATTTCTATAGTCTGTGATTTCCTTGTTTGTGACAACAAAGCCTCTCAATTTGTTGACTCAACCTTTCTGCATACTGTGTTACATATTGTGGGTAAAAGTTAAATTATGATTTGCTAGGTTTCCATGGTATTCAATACATATTCTGAAATTTTTGCAAAAAACTGTACTAAAAATAACTACTTTAACTAGAGAATAAAGAGGAATTGAAACATTGTGGAATTAAGCATTGTAGAATTAAGTCTTAAAGCAGGACTTTGTGAGATGGACAAAAAGGCATGTAGCTAGAACTCATAATACATTGCTCAGATTCCTTAAGGATTACTTTCTTTTTAATGACTTCTATTAAGTTTACTTATTTATTTTGAGAAAGAGAGGGAGAGAGCATGCAAGCGGAGGAAGGGCAAGAGAGGGAGAGAGAGAATCCCAAGCAGGCACTGCACTGTCAGCACAGAGCTGAACGTGGGGCTCAAATTCACAAACCATGAGATCATGACCTAAGCTGAAATCAAGAGTCGGACCCTTAATTGACTGAGCCACCCAGGTGCCCCATAACCCTTAATGATTACTTTAAGACAACAAGTTTCATCTTTTAATGAACTAATCTCAGAAATGACCGTCAATCAGAGGAACAAAATTCCAAGAGGAACAACATTCATTAACATTTCATCTAAATTGTAAGGAAGGAAAACCTGAATAACAGGAAAGATCTGTACAACCTAAACATGACATTTATTAGGTAGGTGTGTGGCAGTGAGCATTTCTCCACATCTCAGCCACAAAAGTACAGTTTCTCCTCTTGATAAAAACTAGTTCTGAGAAGGGTGCATAATCTCATCTCATAATCCTTGAGATGTTTGTGGGGGTTGTGCATGGTTTTAGAAATGCTTTCTTTGGTGTTTACTAAGGCAGAATGTATGTTCAATAAAAAACCCAAACCTTAGGTATACAGTTAGATACAATTTCACATATACACCCATATAATCACCTAAATCAACATCTAAGGGTTCTCTCCTTTAAACCTCAAGTTGATACCAACAGGAGTACGCACTATTCTGACTTCTATAATCATAGGCTAGTTTTTCTTGGATCTGAACTTTGTAAAACCATTCAGTATGTAGTCTGTGGGTCTGGCTTCTTGTTTAATAGTAGGTCGATGATATTCAACCACACTCTTTTTATGAAGTCATTTCTTTTCATTTTTGTGTTAATATTATATTGTTTGAATAAACTACAATTTATCCATTTACATGACTGATTGTTTATGGTTTTTGGCTATCTTGGATAAAGCTGTTAAGGACAATCATGCATATTCTTTTATACATTCATTCTTTTTTAAACTTATTTACATTGTTTATATAGCCAGAAGCTCAGTGACTGTGTGTGTGTGTGTGTGTGTGTGTGTGTGTGTGTGTATTTATATTTAACTATAAAAGAATATAATAGTTCTCTCGACTTTTATTTTCTGGAAGAGTTTATATAGGTTGGTATTATTTCTTCCTCAAATGTTTGGTACAAATGCATCAGTAGAATCATCTGGGCCTCGAGTTTTCTTTTCAGAAAGATGTTGAAATATATATAGATATAATATATACAAGGCTATTCAAGTCTATTAGTTCCATATGGCTACTATAATCAAATTCTCACAAACTTGATGAAACATTCAAAATAACAAAAATTCATTCGCTCATAGGTCAGGGGGCTAGAAGTCCAAAATCAATACAACCAGGACAAGAACTGAGGTGTCAGCAGGACCGTACTCCCTATGCATGCTCCAGAAGAGAATTCATTCTCTGCCTCTTCCACCTTCTGGTGGCTGACTCAGAACTCCTTGGTTTGCAGCTGCCTTATCTGAACCTCTGTGCCTGAGGTCACACTGCCTTTTCCTCTTCTGTCTTCAAATCTCTTTGGATTTACCTCTTAGAAGAACACATGTCATGGCACTCAGGGCCGACCTGGATAATACAGCGTTACCTCATCTTCAAGATCTCTAACTTAATCACATCAGCAAAAGAACCTTTTTCCAAATGAGGTAATGTTTACAAGTTCCAGGCATCAGGATCTGATTTCTTTGGAGGACATTTTTCAAGCTATTACATTAGGTTACCTATTTCATCCTGAGTAAAGTTTTTTATTTTGTTGCTTTCAAGGGGTTTGTCTGTCTTATCAAAGTGTCAAACATATTATCATCAAGTTGTTGATTATATTTTTAATATCTTTTTAATGTACAGAGAATCAGTAATATATTTTCTTTCCTGATTTGTAATTTGTGTCTTCTCTTTTCTTCTTGATCACTCACTCTGGTCGGAGGCTTATCAAATTTACCGATCCTTTCCTTATTTCGTTAATAACCATCTCCTTATTTCGTTAATTTTCTGTATTGTTTTTTTGTTTCTGGTTTCTAGTTTCATTTTGTTGTGGTTAGCTAACCATATTTATTTCACGTGTATGAAATCATACAACCACATTTTATAGTATCATTCCTTTAAAATTTCTTGAGAGTCATTTTGTGGCTCAAAATTGAATATACTTTGGTGAATGTTCCCCAAGAACTTTAGTCTTATCTTACTGACCTACCTACCTACTTATTCTATCAATTACTAAGAGCAGACTATTGAATCTCCAACTACAATTCTATCAGTTTTGCTTTATATATTTTGGAGTTTAATGAACTATACACCTAATTAGGGCAATCATGTCCTTTTGATTAACTAACTCCTTTATCATTATGAAATGTTCATGTTTAATTCTGGTAAAATAATTTCTAATGTCTATTTTCACTAGTATTAACATAACTGGTATTCCTTGGATTAATGTCTAGAAGGCACGTCTTCTCTCATTCTTTTACTTTATAATTAGATTTCTTACAATTTATGATTCTTAGTTTTTTATGCAATTTGATGATCTCTGTTGCTTAACTGAAATATTACAACCATTTACAAATAAGGTTATTACTATCCCCATGGTCATATGTAAACCTACCACCTCCCTATTTTCTACTCATCACATCTACCCCTTCCTTTCTCATTTATTCCCTCTTATGGGGTAACTTTTTTTGAGAAGTAACTTTTTTGTGGAGTATTATTCTGTTTTTATCTCCATTACTGACTTATTAGCTATAGGTCTTTAAATACTCTGTGACTTAGAATCCTCATCTCTAACGTGTCATGGTGTATCCTCAAATACCGTATTAGGTGCCATATATATAGCATAAGAACTTTAATATAGTGTACTTCCATTTCCCTCTGCTGTACCTTGAGCCATGTTTGGTCCTTAACACATATTGAAAACCTAGAGATATACTGTTAGCATTTTTGGTTTAAGTAGTCTATTACCGTTTTTTAAAACTACAAATCAGGAGGGAACATCTTTTATCCTGACCCAGGTGCTGACCTCTTCTGGCATTCATTGTTCTTCCATGTAGATCCAATCCCCTTCAAAAGTATTTGGAAAGTGTTTGCCAAAGTATTATATACTTTAACCTGAAGCAGCATTTTTTATCACATTTCTAAATTATATCAGGAGTTTAACTCCATGTAATTGTCTTTCTGCCATTTTGGTCATTTCTACATGTTATAAACTCCTTAAAATGATCACTGCTTAAACAGTCTATATTTCTTCATATTTAATCGTATATTCATTCGTCTCCCTAGACATATACCTTCCTAGTCTTGTGGGTCCATCAGGGATCAATATCCTTCACCCAAAAAAACTTCCCTCAGTTTTCCTGTACTGTGTGCTAGTGAAAACCTAACCCCATTCTCAATGTCTGCCCTTTCACTCCTGAAAGGTATTCCTACTGGATACAGAACTCCAGACGGACAGCTTTACCTTCAGCATTTAAAATGTTACTATAGTGTTGGAGTGCCTGGGTGGCTTAGTCGGTTAAGCATCCGACTTCAGCTCAGGTCATGACCTCACGGTTCATGGGTTCGAGTCCCACGTCAGGCTCTGTGCTGACAGCTCAGAGCCTGGAGCCTGCTTCGGATTCTGTGTCTCCCTCCTTCTCTGCCCCTCCCCTGCTTGCATTTTCTTTCTCTCGCTCTCAAAAAATAAATAAACACCTGGCTTCTGTCATTTCTGCTGAAAAGTCAGACATCAGTTTTATGATTATTTCTTTGAATTTAATGTGTTCTTCTCCAACGCCACTCACTGCCCAATGTGGTGGCTACTTTTAAGGTGTTAGTTTTTTTGTTTTCTTTTGTTTGAGAGAGCATGCATGTGTGTGAATGGAGGAAAGGGGCAGAGAGAAAGGGAGAGAGAAAATCTCAAGGAGGCTCCACACTTATCATGGAGCCTGAAAGGGGAACGATCCCACAAGACCCGAGCCGAAATCAAGAGTCAGATGCTTAACCAACTGAGCCACCCAGGCGCCCTGTTTAAGGTGTTAGTTTTTAAGGTAAATTTAAGCATGATGTGCCTAAACATGTTTTCCTCTGTATCCAAATGTGAATCAGTTTAGACTCTCTACTGAGTTGGTATCTTTTTATTATTTATCAAAAATGATTAGCCATTACATCTTCAAATATCACTTCTGTTTCATTCTTTCTCTTTTTATAGGTTTCTAATGATAAACATGAATTCTTTTTACCATTTCTCACGTGTCCTTTAAAGTCTGTTCTCTTTGACCCCCTCCGCCACCTTGATCAAATTTATTTTTCTCTTGGTGCTTCAATTTCAAGGTAGCTACTAACCTGTCTGAGCTCACTATTCCTGTCTTCTGTTGTGTTTAGCCTGCTGCTAAAACCACCCAACGAGGTTAATTTCAGGCACATTTTTCAATTATACAATATTCCTTTGAGTCTATATATTATGTTGAAATTCTCCACTTTTTCCTGTTGAATTTCTCCACTTTTTCCTGTTTTAACATATTATTCATCATTACTTTAACATACCTACATTCTAACCATACAGAAAAAGTGGTAAGATAAGTGATTGTGGTTTTATAAAATGCCAGTAGATTAATTAGAATGCTCACATTCTTATGCCATAGAAAGTTACGTTTCTTATGAAAACTGGTAACTTCTTACAAAGAAGAATAAAGAGGACATGCTGCATTGCAGCCCAGGTGGGTCTAGAAACAAAGTCCTTACTTTTGCTAAGGTTTTCTTGGAGTAAATGTCAGTACGAAGACCAAAGTTCTGCAAATCAATTGGTTTTTCCTTGTTCTTCTCAGGAAAATTTAACATCTGCTGAGCAGCAGGGACCTAGGAGTCAGAAAAATGATGAATGGCTTTATTAATCTCTACGAAGTTAAAGGGATAGAATTTTTAAAGCACTGTATAATAGTGACACGTAGAGAGATTTCAGAATAAAATAAATAACCACACCTTTGCCCTACACTTCTAACAACATTTCAACATAGGCAACAAATGTTGCGTATAAGCAACATTTTTCTGCCTCATTTAAATCCCAGAGAAAATCGACAATAAATTTTCTTTAATATGCTACCCCATTTCACAGTGAAGAACAATTTACACCTTAGACTCATGTTATTCCAACTTAAGGCTATATAAAATCTGGTTGACATAGTAATCTTTTCAAGAACATGTGTTTGTTCACTTTCCAAATGTTAGGAAGGGGAAGAAGTTTCATACAGTGTATAATTAGTGTAATATTAAAAATGCCTAATATTAGGTTATTAGAGTAATAATTACAAAAACCAGAATTATAATAATATTTGTGTAATCATTAATTTACCTGAGGTGATCGAAGATGTAGAGGCACAAGCCCAGAAGGGGTATCAGCTAATACATTGAAATGAGGAGTAGGAGGAGGTCCCATTGCCATGGGTCGACTTTCTGGATCCACTTGGTAATTGACAAGCCCCCACTGCTCTAAAAAGGCATGAACCCTGGAAGAGTAAAGCTCTGAAACTTAACATCTAGAGACTGTAACTCACTTCCTCCATTAACCATCATCACATTTCACTAAAAAATCAAAACAATAAAACAAGTAAAATGTTCTCTATAGGCTATGAAGCACCACAAAGTTAACTGACAATTTTGGTTTGTTGTATGAGGGACAATTTCTACAAACTCAACATCATGTTGATAACATAACACCCAAAACCTAATACAAAGCCTGATTATTTCCATCACAGAAAGAAGAAAACAAATGTTCACTTAAGTCCATGGTGAAAAAACTCACACACAGACCAAATTCAAACCAGGAGATTCCCATTTGATGTGTTTCTTTAGACAGATCTAGTGTAGAGAGTTTATCCACTCTCCAGATCAACCCACTCTCCATCCCTGGTCATTTTACGATTTTACCATAAAATAAAAGATATCAAGTGTAAAATCTTAAAAAGAAGAGAAAATGCCAAGGTATTAAAAATGCTCAACCCCTACGCCTGGGTGGCGCAGTCGGTTAAGCGTCCGACTTCAGCCAGGTCACGATCTCGCGGTCGTCCGTGAGTTCGAGCCCCGCGTCAGGCTCTGGGCTGATGGCTCAGAGCCTGGAGCCTGTTTCCGATTCTGTGTCTCCCTCTCTCTCTGCCCCTCCCCCGTTCATGCTCTGTCTCTCTCTGTCCCAAAAATAAATAAACGTTGAAAAAAAAAATTAAAAAAAAAAAAAAATACTCAACCCCTAAATAAAAAACATTTGATTAAGGTATTTTATCAACAAAGAAAATATCCAGTTGGATCAATCAAACATTAAACAGCAATGAATCAGTAACCACCTGCAGTGAAGTGTCTAAGAAAAAGTCAGGCATTTTACCTCATCACAGCACACACATCTCCAGTCAAGTTTCGCCGACAAGCAGTGCTGGTTAAATATTCTTGGGGGTTTAGGCGATATGTGTCAATCATAAAATTTCGATATGCCAAGTATCTAAAAAGCAGTGGCAAAATTCATAAGGTGAACACACATCCTTTCAGAAATAATAACTCATAGAGCCCATAATCTTCTGATTCCCTATAACCAAATCCAACAAAAAGTTTATATTCCAACAAATACTATTGAGTGCTCACAGTCATTAATGTAATTAAGGATAATAGCTAATATGCAAAACAACTATTTACTAGTATTAACGATAAGTAACAGAATAAAACGATGACGTTAACGTAAAGTAACATAGGGGTGTCTGGCTGGCTCAGCTGGTGGAGCAGGCGGGTTTTGTGTTTGGAGACAGGAGTTTGAGACCTACGTTGGGCATAGAGTTTACTTAAAAATAGATAGGTTAAAATAATAATACGAGCTAATATAAATACAAGCTTGGTCACAGGGGTGAATGGATAAATACCTGGTTATTTATGCTGTCTGCAGAACTACTGTGTACCCACAGTAATTCATTTAAACCTCACAATCTCTCCCTAAGGAAAGGTACACTATCATCTCATTTATCGATGAGTCAATTAGGCATCTGACTGTTGAGTTTGGATCAGATTATGATCTCATGGTTTGAGCTCGAGCTCTGTGCTGGGCTCCATGCTGACAGTGGAGCCTGCTTGAGATTCTCTCTCTCTCTCTCTCTCTCTCTCTCTCTCTCTCTGCCTCACCCCACCCACCAAAATAGATAAAATAAAAATTTTTAAATATATACATTAAAAAAAAAAGTGCCCTAGACCACAAGGCTGGTAAGTGTGGAGCCAGAATTTAGCAAACAGAGTGTGGGGGGGCGGGGGGGGGGGCTGCTCTAGAATCCATGCTCTTAACACGTGCTGCTTCTCATTTCTATATTCTTAGTAGAGCTACATGTTGATCTGGTTCTGACAATGGCTATATACCCAGCCAGGCGATGAGCAGAACCCATGAGGCCAAAACCAAAGCTAAAACAAGAACAGATAAAAAAGGAGAGAAAAACTGGGATTCGGAGTCACAGGAGACTTATTTTACAACAAACCCAAACACTTCTGTGACAAAATATTTATTCATTCATTCATTTACTTATTTATTACTGTCTTTTTTAAGCAACAACCTTTTTTTATTGTGAGCAAGAGAGAGAAGACATGTGCAAGTGGGAGAGGGGCAGAGAGAGAGTGCGAAAGAGAGAGGGAGAGAGAATCCCGAGCAGGCTCTGTGCTGTCAATGCAGAGCCCAACTTGGGGCCAAATCTCACAAACTGTGAGATCATGACCTGAGCTGAAATCAAGGGTCAGATGCTTAACTGAATGAGCGACCCAGTCGCCCCTCTGCGATAAAATATTTAAAACAAGATTTTAAGAAGCTACAGACCTAGCCACAAAAGAAAAACAAAAGTCTGGCAAAGTTAAGGTGGGCTACATCAGAATAGAAAAGGTACACTGCTCAAAAAAGGTCTAGTATACGCATAGATGGATAAATAAAAACCGTAAATTTTCAGATTTAAGCGGACTAAAATGATAAACTGTGCTTTTAAACAGAAGACTGCCAAGAACCAGAAGTATTTACAAACGCTGGCAATTGGCAAATTAGCTAGAAGAATATACCATGTCTCACTAGATGGAAAGACTATCAGGGTTTCTTATGCCAAATCTTTGACTGTGGTTTTAAATGAATCCTTACACTTTTGTTATGGAAAGGCTAGAATTATCTAAACTTACAACCTCAAACTATTGTGGACAATCTACTATAAGAAAGTATTTATTATTCAATTATCTATATTCTGTCATGCATTCAATGTGGAAAATCACCCTTCCCAAACAATTTAAGCAAAAGACATCTATTAGTGAAGTCACATGAGTATAACAAAGCAATGAATTAATACTATAAAGATAATATATGGAAAAGTATTTATAGTATGACAGGTGTGGATTTATTTGGGGGCAAGGGTTTCCAGAAATGTGTACTTAACAGTCACCAGGCAAATATACAAAAATACTTCCCCAAAAGATTCTTCCATCTCCAAAAAGGTTTTATCTCCAATGCAAAAGCACAACAATGCTTTATGTAATTAAGATCAATTTATAGGCAGCTATGTCATCATATCTGGCATTCTTTCAATTAGTAATCATTCATTAAGAAAACAAGATAAAGATTCCACCGTCTCTCAGATTATCATACATAAATATACATAATATATAAATATACATACATAAATATACATACATAATATAATATATAAATATATAAATAAATAATATAATATATATAAATATAATACATAAATATACATACATAAATATATATCTATAAAATAAATTGGGAACTGTTAAGGAGAAATCTCAGCTCATTTTGGTGAATGACTATTACTAAAGAACTCACATGCATATAGTTCAAGATACAAATGGAAGAAGAAAAAATGTAGAAAAAATTCCTTTACAGCATGGAATTCTGTGCGGCTGAGGTATGAACACTGTTCTGCATGGAGTAACATATTTGCAAACTTCCAAACATTAGCAAAAATGAGTGTTCGACTCTTGGTATCAGCTCAGGTCATGATCTCACGGTTTGGGAGATAAAGCCCCAAGTTGGGCTCTGACAGCACAGCACAAAGCCTGCTTGGAATTCTCTCTCCCCGCTCTTTATGCCCCTCCCCCACTTACATGCTCTCTCAAAATAAATAAATACTTTTTTAAAAAATTTAAAACAACTTGAAGAAACCCCTGCCAAATACATGCAAATTAACAATTTCTCTACACTTCAGCCCCATTCTAAAGTAGTAGTATCAGGATTACATCTTTATATTTCACTCACATTTCTGGAGTCTTGGATTTGTTTTTCCCATTGAAAAATTCAGGAAGAGCACGCCGTTCAATCACGTGAATACTGGGGAATAAAAAACAGAGAGTCCTCTTAAAAAAATAAAATCTTAAAATTTAAGCTAAGTAATTTTTTTTTTTAATTTAAAAAAAAAATTTTTTTTTCAACATTTATTTTTTTTGGGACAGAGAGAGACAGAGCATGAACGGGGGAGGGGCAGAGAGAGAGGGAGACACAGAATCGGAAACAGGCTCCAGGCTCTGAGCCATCAGCCCAGAGCCTGACGCGGGGCTCGAACTCACGTACTGCGAGATCGTGACCTGGCTGAAGTCGGACGCTTAACCGACTGTGCCACCCAGGCGCCCCTAAGCTAAGTAATTTTCAAAGTAGAATTGATAAATCCAAAAGGCAAACAATTATTATTTTTTTTAATGCTTGTTTTTGAGGGGAGGGACAGATAGAAAGGGGGATAAAGGATCCAAAGCAGGCTCTGTGCTGACAGCAGAGAGCCTGAT